AGGGCAACGGACAAAACCATTTTTATCGGGTGAAGGATTTTTTAACGGAAATTTAGGTTCATTAAGTTTCGTTATTAAAATTCAATTTTTTCCCGTTCCGCAAATACAAAATTCCAGCGTTAAAATATTATATTAAATTTCAAATGGTTCTATAATTGGGAATACTGTGCATTGCCATTTCCCCGAAACCTCGAATCCTCTCAAAATAAACACTTGATGATTGGATCATAATAATGATCGAAATAAAATAAAAGCAAATATTGTTAATGCCATTTTAAATATACAATCGGGACTAAAAAGAAAAGAAAAAAACTGCTTTATAATTTACCAAAGTTATAAATTTGAATGGAATTAGGTATACGATTTCGATTTTGAATTTTAAATTAGTTTTATATTGTAATTGTTTGCCAAAATATAGTAGAATATACGTAGATTTACTTTTTATTGCATTTTTTAAAGGCAAATAGATTTAACCGATTTTTGACGGAAATCAACAGTAACTTAACGGAATTTTAAAAATTATTGTTGGCAACACTGCTGCACAGCACGGCCAGCGCATTTCTATGGCAGCCGCCGATCATTTTTTATAAATATCGTTCACGATGTTGCCAACCTGTAGAAATTTTCCCATATTATGGGAATTTTTACTGCAAATACTATGGAAAAGGGAAAATATTTATTAAAATAAACTTAAAAATATAGGAATACTGCTCGACCACGTTGATTTTGGTAAAAAAATAACATAGGTACACTTAAAATATGGTAATTCGGCTCGACCACGTTGATTTTGGTTACTCTTCAGCGTACTCGCTACACGCAATCTTATATATACAGGGTGAATCCAAGGTGATACTTATAAACAACTTTTTTAAATGACTGTCAGAAAAATCAAAAATAGAAACCTTACATTAAAATGTATCCAATACGGTCCTAACCGAATAATGACGTTCTAGTAATTAACGTTTTTAACCGGAAAAAGTCCAAAATGTTTAAATTAACTACATTGTGTTAAACAGGGTGTATCATTAAGAATGGGACACAGAACAACTGAAGATTCTCTGAATAAAAATAAGACGATTAAACGAAACATGTGTAGATAAAATATTTCTGGTTTCCAAAATACAGGGTGTTAAAGTTGAAAATTCGAAAATTATTAATGGCTATACTTTCTTTATTTCTCAGTATAATTTTACTAAATTCGGTAAACATTGTTGGTGGCATAGGATACACCTATTAGCAAAACAATCAGTTAAATAAACCTTATCAGTAGCGTTCTCAAAGGTGGATATTCTTCATTTTAATTTATTTTTTAAATTTTTATATTTTTTATAAAATCACACTAAGCAAACGTTTCTGGTGTCATAAGATACACCAATTAGCAAAAAAATAAGTTAAATAAACTTTGCCAGTGGCGTACGGCATGAGTAAGTAACACCTTAATACCTTCTAAATTTTATGCCACTCTCCAAAACTTATTTAGACCATCATAATTGTGATATTTTTTTTTTCATGTCTTTTTAAATAAATCATGTAATCTCATTGGGAATTTATAAAAAAAATCCAAATAACAAAATTAAAAAAATGAATATCCACATTTGAGTGTGACGGGATCTATCCAGCCCTACTGCAGTGGGGTTTGGAAGAACTCACACTGCACCTGGTGGGTATATTCAGATCCTCGTTAGCTCTGAGGTATATCTCTAAAAAATGGAGAGAGGTAAAAGTGGTATTCACAACCAAACCTGGATGGAATATACTGTCCCAAAAACATATCGACCAACTTATAGTTATTAAAAATTGATGTTACATATAGTGCTTCAAACTGTATTCAAATAAATATTAATTATTTAAAGTTATAAGATCAATTTTTCAAAATCATCGATGATTGTTTCTTTAATAAAATAACTTTATTCTAAAATGTTTAAATCTTAAAGAAATACATTGATTTAAATCAAGCCGTACCACTTTCTCCATCTATCGGAGAATAGATAAAATATTAGTCGTTAAAAAGGGCGAAATCTTTTTGTGCTAGACAAATATCAACAGTTCAGATAAAATTGCACTACTCAATTATTGTATATTATTTATGACTGTCAAAACATTAAAAAATGTTCATTTTCAAAAAATTATACCATTCCTTTCGATATTTTCAAAGTAAGTACTGTTATTTTTACATTACCAGATGTTCCTTTTCTTTCTGTGGTACATTACATAATTTTCCATTTATAGATTCTACCATGCAAAGTCAGATTTGCTTTATACAGAAATCCCGAAATATATTCTAGGTAGTAGCCCAAGAGCCCACTGCAAAGTTTTACCGCCATCTGATAACGAAATGAAATATACCCCAAAATCATGGAAAAATATTGTACTTTACCAAATAGCACCCATGCCAATCCCAATCCTGAGCAAAGTGGCTTAAAAAAATTATTATAAGTTAAAAAATCACATAAGGCATGACAGCGCTAATTTTGTTTGCCCTTAAAGTTTTCCAGAAAATAACATTCCAATATATCTTGATATATATCGTTAAAGGGAAACCTTTTCTTCCTTTTAACATCGCACAAAAACATCTATCTACGATTAGTATGTAAAAATCGTTAAACATATGAATTAATTTTTGCTAATTTAAAAATTTATTTGTATGCCTATTGTTGTGATTCATTTTTACAGGTTGCCATAGAAACGACAAAAAAACTACTATGATTATGGTTTTAAAGGATTGTCTAACAAGAGTTTATAATTATTACTATCTCTGCAAATGGTTTATACAATGCCATCCTTCTTCCTTTCACACATAAACATGGTTTAAAAAGTAGGTGAAAATAATAATAATTTAGGTTTAAAAGCTAGGTTCACAATAAATTAGGATAGTAATTTTCAGGTAAAACACAATTGTCGCTGTCATGTCTTATGTGATTTTTTGAATATAAAATAGTTTTTTTAAGCACTTTGCTCAAGATAGGGATTGGCACAGGTGCAATTTGGTAAAGTACAATGTTGTTACATGTCTTTGGAGCATATTTCATTTCGTTATCAGATAACGGTTGAAATTTGCAATGGGCTCTCATACTATAGTGCTTTATATGAATTTCGAGGCAAATTGGAATTTATTTTGATTTGTTTTGAAATTCTATACCTACATTTAACTCATTAAAACTAAAAAGTGGTACTTTTATAAAGGTTTTATTTATTTTCAACACTTTAAAATTTTAACACATTCGATTATGAAGTTACCTACCTACGTGAAGATTATCTTTTTCTATATCGTTGATGTAAATTTTCATTTACTCATACACTATCACGTGATAGGAAAGTAAAAAAATAATAGGTATATAAACCATCCTATCGGGATTATTTTTTTAGAAGCAAGTGATCTAATTTATAGGTGTTTCTATTTTATCTCTATTATAATATCTATATACCACAGTAGAGTGACTAATGCATTAACTCTCCGTCGATACCGAATCTTAACTACCACAACATAAAAAGACTACTATTGTTACTATCGCTGTTGTATCTACTTATAATAGTAACTATTCATTTTCGATACTGTAATATAAACTACTTTAAAGTTAAAAAATTCAAAAATTAAAAAAAGAGTACATCGTATTTATTATTAAAATTTAACTTATTTTTAAAACCCTCGTATCTAAACCCAGCTGCTCGTCTAATTGGTTCGCAACACTCAACTCAACAACGTAACCAAATTCAACCAGGCGATCATTGCTCGACTGTAAATTAATATCACACATTCTATATTCTTTTTTTCATTTTATTAACTCATTTTAGTCTAATTATTTTTTTTAAATACTACAATATATTTAAAAAAAGAAAACATTTGATGTTATCAAATTTTAATTCGTTTTTATGCTGTAAAAGCATAAACGAAATGTAATATCTTTTCGATCCATGAACTAATTATTGATTATTTTCGGAAAGTGAGGACGCCATTTTTAGTCCAAAATTTTTTTAATAATGGATTACACATAAAATGCAACCCAACTTTCATTTATAACTATTTCGAAAGTCTGAGCCTTTTCGTATTTTCCGATTGAACAATTTGATAGGAAAATGTTTAACTTAGGTGGTTCAAGGTTTCATTTTCAGAAAATTTATTGAATTTGAGTTTATTCTTACAATGAAAAAGGTCTAAAAATAGGCCATTTTCTAACACACATTTTTAATTAAAAACAATTTTAAAAAAATCAATGCCTGAACCACCTAAGTTGGACCTTTATCTACAATTAAAAAAAAATAGTACGATATACGGTATAATTACGGAAATAGTTACAATTAACTTTTGGTCTGCAGACGCCATTCTAATGCACAATGATACTCTGCCCTTAACACCCTTGGTTTCTCTCGTCGTAAACTCGACGCTAATTACTAAAAAACATATATTTTGAGATTATTATACCTGCCAATTGTTCATAGATAGTAAATTTAAGTACTCGTATCATTTCACTATGTAAAATTGTTGTAAGCTGAAGAAATTTTATAGTGTATATAAAGTTGTTAACTGGAAAACACATTTAATTTTATCATAAGCAAACAAGATTCTGGCAATTTATCTACAAACTTCAAACATATCTACTGGCTGCATTACTACTTCATTGCTCCCAGCTGATGGGAGCGACGGCAATTGAGAAGAAAACAAAGTCGCAGATAACACTACAATACTATTATTTATTTTTACTTTAGATTTTTAAATATAAAGGCTTGGGTTTTAAGAACATTCCCTCTCGAAAATCGCCGACGAATTTCATCGACGAATACGTTCCCGAAGTTCGCTGTATTTCAAAAATCAAGGCTTCAGCTTTTTATATTTTTTTATTGCCTAATATTTCAATCTTCTCCTTTCATTTATTAACATCCTGATGTTTGTATTAAAAAATCTGATGTGTCCAATACATGACTTTCCTTTACTTAAAATTATTATAGCATTATACTTTCTTCTGAATACAGGAAAGTAAAAATTTTTTTTTATTATTCCTTACCTGACAATCCACCGACGTCCATTTTCTTCAAGTTCTTAGCCTCCAGAATAACAACAGTCAATTTTCCTGCAGTCGGAACGTACCGCAACGAGAAGCATATATCTCCCAACTTATTTTCCTGTAACATTATATTATGGAGTGATCTTAATAGTGTTATAAGAATATTCAAGTAAAAATTTAAAAGACAAGAAAAATGTGTGTTACCGTGTAATAAATTTAATATTGGTAGAAATAAATCTTTAGCCATATATCTGTAGAGAAAAAAAAGTATTGCAGGAATAAGAGAATATAAATGAACGCATGTTTTATTTTGATAAGAGAAGATTATTTGTTATATGGTGTAATGTAAATAAAAGGAGTACTTAATCTATTAGATATTTATGTAATTTTAAATATTTGTATGCTGTGTGAACATAAATAAATATAAAACCACAGAGTTCTTCAAATTCTTTTATTAATGCTTCTTTTTAACCAATGAAGTTTAGTCCAAATAATATTATTATTTTATAGTAGATATAATTTATATATTTATGAATATTTTTTTGTTTAAAAAAATATAACTGTACCAACTGTTCAAATAAATAACTTTTCTATAAGTGAAAATGTAAACAACACACAGTCAATTTAAAAGAACCATTCTTCATTGATTAATAAAGAAAAGTGTAGGTATAAGGATTTTAGTAAAACAAAAACGAGATCAAACACATAATTATAGCTTCACTAAAGGCGGTAAAGGGTTACAGATAAATTAAGTTTACAAGGAATACATAAATTGGTATATTTGTCGATTGTCATTCATTTAGCGCTGTGTTTTTCCATAAAAGATAAACCAATAATATAAACTAAAAATAACTTAAATTTATTGATTATCAATGTGAAATTTATGCTTTAAGTTTTAAATAACAGAGATATATTGAAAAAGATACCAATTAAACAAGTAAATGTGTTTGTTATCAAATTTTCAATAACTATTTATTTATTCTTCAAAACACCCAATTAGATGATTTTTCAATACTTAATGTCAAAATTAGAGTAATACAAATTATCATGTTTCGTGAAAAACACATAGGGTTTCCATCAAAAGTTATTGTCTGGACAGGTATTGTTTACTTTTAACTTAACCAGTGAAGTGTATTTGGAGATGTTGCAAAATACAATTGAGATGTCAATTCTTTAAATTCTAAAAGAAAATCCAGATGAATTAAGTAACTTAGAAAAGACGTTCCAACCAGATGGTGCGACTTTACACTATGGTGTAGCAATACGTTATGTATAGGAGCCAGTGAAGTGTATCTGGAGATGTTGCAAACTGCAATTAAGATGTCAATTCTTTAAATTGTAAAAGATGATCCATATTAATTTAGTAACAGGAAAAACGTTAGAACCATATGGTGCTGCTGTACACTTTTAGAGATAGTAAGACATTATATAGAGTAGGAATATCGTGATAGATGAATTGGACGACGGAGTTCGATTAGATTATTTCCTGTGGGAATACCTTAAATATAAAGTTAACTCTACACTTTCTGACAGTATTGACGTTTTAGAACAGTAAATTGTTGAATTTGAAGGAGTAGAGTTTAGCAAAAAGATGTTTTAATACCAGGAACGTAATAAAGAAGACTTAGAAATGCCGAAAGAACTAATCAATATAAGTAAAAGCACATATGAGACTGTTAATCTAAGAGTACAGATAGGAGGGCGTACATATGAGAGTGTTAATCTAAGAAAAAGGTACGAAACAAGGAGATAGTCTACGCCCACTGCTGTTCATAATCCTAATGGACAATATAATCAAGACGATAAAAGAAACCTTAGACATGATAATAGGACATAGAAACTTGAAACCAGTGTGTTTAAAGAATTTGCTCCAATATGCAGATGACGTAGTGCTGGAGCAAATTAATAAAACAACATGCAAAAATCAATTAATATACGTAAAATATAAATAAAAATCATGAAAATATAAGTAAATATAGATGAAACGATTGTAATGATTGTAAACGATAAACAGAGAGATGATAGAAATAATAAAGAAATAAAATGTAAAGGTATAACACAAGAAATAGTAACAAGCTATAAATACCTGTGAAGTATATTAAGAGACGAAAGAATGAAACATTTTTAGTGGATCACTTCTGATGAACGTTTAAATTTTACTAGGGTGTAGAGACTTTTGACTAACTAACTACAATTCTAATATTCTGCGCAATTTTATTTATTTTTTTAATAAATCTGTTATTCTCTTTATTTAAATCAGAATGGCTTAAATTCAAATTTTTCTGAATATTTAGCAAAATCATCTAATTGTATTCTGAAAAATACTCTGTATTTTTAAGTAAACACATTTAATTAAAACATTAATTCTGAAAATTTGTTTTTGTTTGTTTATGGTTTATTGAAAAGTAGCCTAAAGGTTATTCTAAAAATAAAATGTCTGTATTACATGAATAATTATCTAGTGTTGTTCTGTCTAACCACCCAGCTCAAACCAATATACAGAATGACCCACTAATATGATGTAGTCCATAAGTAACCATCAACTTTACAAAATTTAGATACAATTACATGATCTTAATAAAGGGGCATAGATTACAAGAAAATAAACATTTTGATTTAAAAGATAGGTAATAATTAATATTCATTATTTTAATTTAGTCAATAAATGTTTTACTTATACAGGGTGTAACAAAAAAGATATAAAAAGTTAATTTAGTTTCTAGGGTCGAAAATACGTCGATTTAAGCTAATTAAAAATGAAATAGTAAAAAGATTACAGTGATTTAGTACTCTTGCTCTAAAACAACTCAACATATTTTTTATTTACATGGAATGTTAGTATACAGTGGACAGCACAATTGTGGCGTTTGAAATTGTTTCCAGTCTATAGATTTTTAGAATGGTTCCGCACCTCTTTGGTTCCCCTACTTTTGTGGATAATGAAATTTACTTAAACAGAGAATTCCACTGAAATACCTCATCTTTTTCAAAAAGGTTTTGTCTCCTCAAATTTGTGAAAGGCTTAATTACCGAGTTATAAGCCTTAGAAGGAAGGTTGTGGTAAAAAATACTCATAATGAAATTTTTCTATTGATCTTAAGCCACTGAATATCTGTTCATGATTTTTTTTTACTAAATTACAACTGTAAATTTACTGCACATCTTTTTGTTACACCCTTTATTTGATATTCATTTGCAATAATAGAAACTCAATATCGACATAAACTACTGCAACATTTTTGGAAGCATTTAAGATTTTTAAGAAGATAAGGAAGGGAAAAACGGAAACTTATGAAAAGAATACGACCAGAAGAATATAAAATAGATAAGTCAGCTGTATCCTAAATTTTGGTTTTTAATCGCCTATTGATGGTGTTAACGCTACTCAAAGAATATCTAAGGGAAGGGATATTATATCAACCAGTCGTATGTATATAAATGTATATAAATGTATATAAATGTATATATATATACGTAGCCAAATACAAAAGCGAGGCCCGATGTAGTCAACACACCACCCGAGGCCCTCCTGAAGGAGTGATTTTTTGAATATAAATTTTAATGTTTTAGAATGTACTAATAATGTTAAATTATAACGCCACAAGAGGGGTAATATATTTCTAAAATTTAAACATACATGTTTGCAACGTGCATGCGAGTCCCTTAACAATGTTTAACTGACATGAAAGGCCTTCTGTTTATAAATTACTTTTTCAATATACATACGAGTCCCTGCGACGTTGTCAAGATGGGCCCATAAAATTTGCCCTTCAAAAGGTTTGACTCGAAGAATGTTTACAGATCTTTACAACAAATCTCTTTTCTATGAGTTCGCGCGTATAGTGGTATAATAGGTTTGTTCCAACACGTGCGAAAACGGTAATATTACGATACAAAGTATGCGGTCTGTACAAAAATTGTTTACAGCGTTTGACTTGTTCCGAAATATTATCGATTCCACTTTGTGCGTTTTTAGAATAATCTATTTTACGGAGAGAAAAATGTTATATAGAGAAGTTATAGGTATTATAGAGATGCCTATAAAAGGAGATATATTATATCTTTATTTGTTTGTTTTGTTGTATTCTAAATAAAAAAAAAAGCTTGGCGAGGGTATTAATTTAAACTATATCATCCGTTTAAAACACTAAATCTCTGACTTTAATTATTATTTTTGCCCTCTAACATAAAACATTAACAATAGTAATACAGACAAAACAAAACTATAATTTTAATCGTGAATCTGTCTCGCTCAACGCTGGGTTCCAATGATTTAATTACGCTAATTTGACATCAGCACAGATTTTGCCAAAATGAGGAATACAGATTTTTATTTTTACAGAGGGTGAGAGGAATAATTTATATTGCCAATTATCTTTGTCTAGAAGATTAAGTGAAAATATAGACATTTAAAATTTTAAAATATATTTTTTTTAATTTTAAGTTAAAGCAAAAATATAAAATTATTCAAAGAAATGTTTCTAAAGTTGGCTTTAGAAAAATTTACGCATGTCGGAGCATTAAATTATTTTTCTTTTTAAGTTTTATTTTGAATTTAATTCAGAATCGTTCGTAGTTATTACGGACATGGGACATGAATCGTATCTTTATATTTGTCGATCATGGCCTACTTCAGAAACATTTTTTTTAGATAACTTTTTTTGTAAATAAAGTTCTGTGTTCCGCTGGAACCACTGTTTCAAAATTTGTTTTAGTTTTTATGGAAAACAAAGCAAACATTTTAATATCACTTTTTTTAAGCTTTTAAGAATTTGTATTCCTACTTTCTTTTTATCAGTTTGAAAGAGCTCACCTGCTAAGCGATTCCGGTCTAATACCGGGACCGGTTAATATCAGTTCTAAAGGCCATCTAGGCCCGCAGCTTTTGATATAACATTCTTTCCCAATTTACGTCATTTTGACGAAAAAAAAAAATATATACAGGGTGAGTCGGGAGGAGCGCACCAAACTCTAGGAGTATATTATACACGTGAAAATAATTTAAAAAAACTCATATGTTCTTATCCGATTTTCATTTGTTTTCAAGTTATGGCGTAATTAAAAATGTTCATCTAGCTTTCCACTTCTGAATTTTAACATTATCAAAGTATGCCATAT